GGCGGCACACACCAGTAACAGTCACCCTCAGCACTAAAAGACAAAGCATACATGGCAGAGATAATAACATCAAATTCTAGGTCAAAGATGGCAACTCCCGACCTAAGCAACTCCGCCCAGCGAGGGCGCTCGACGTCATCACCAAACTCAGTGCGCCAGGCGTCGTCAAGGCGGGCAAAGCAGCGGCGCTCAGTGTGAAACCGCACGCATGTCTTGCCCGCACGGGCACCCGTGCGAATGACATACGGGCAGGTCTCACTACCCTCGCCCACCCCACGTTGAACCAACCACTCACGGAGCTGCTGAGGCGTCTGAGTCTCGCTCCGACGCTGCTGCTACTGGCCCCGACCGCCACCAGGGCCGCCACGCTGAGGTCCAGACCGACTACCACTGGTCCCACCGCCTCCACTGCCGCCACCCCCTTCGCTGCCTCCACCGCCGCCACCAGAGCCTCCACCTCCGCCACCGGTCCCACCGCCGCCACAACCTCCACCGCCTACGCCTCCTCTACCGCTGCCCCCACTGCCACGCCCACTGCCACCTCCACCACCACCGTTGCCTCCTCCACTACCCCGGCCACCCTTGCCCTTGCTGTTGCGGCGCTTCGTACTAGTCGAAGCAGCACCGACGTCCTCAGGAACAGAGACGTCTGCAGCAGCAGCAGAGGCGAAGGAGGAGGAAAGGGGGGAGGGGGAGCACCCCTCAAAGAAGGGTGAGCGCGGGGTGCCACGAGCAGCACCCACAGCAACTGCACTAGTCTCAGCTGCGAGGAGATGCTGCTCGAGGAGGTCAACAGTGAGGGAAGTGGGGTCGAGGGTGAGGAAGTGGTCCCTGACAGAGCGAAGGGAGTCAGGGAGGCGAGTGACTATAAAGTAGAGGGTGATGAACATGGGGGGCTGGTTCGTGGGAAGGAACTCAGCAGGAACGGCAGCGCGGTAGCGGGCGTTGCTAGTGCGCAGGTGGGTAACCAAGTCCACTACTGTGGCAAAAGCCGACAGCTCTGGGAACAGGTAGGGCAGTAGCAGTCTGCCAAGAGCAGCAGTGGCAGGGGAGGATTAGCGAGCAACGACAGCGTCGTACAAGGCCTGTGCTGTCCTGTGCTCGCCAAAGTGAGCACATTCTGTTGCGGGCAGGTGGTTGCGAATGGCCAAGCGGGCAGTAGCATCACGAGAGAGCCATTGGGAACGAGTCGAAACGTCAGCTGTGGCGGGAGGGGCTGGAGCGGCACCGGACACGAGGTCAAACAGCGAGACACTGTCCCGACTGTCCCTCAGTAGGTACAGTTGCAGATCGTCGTGCCACGTGTCAAATGCTACAGGTCTGCCCTCCGGGTCGAACGGGAGAACCCGAAGCAACGCCATAGGGGCAGAGGAGCCTGGGGGGCCGCGGGGCCAAACAGGGGGCCGAGGGACCTAGGGGGCCGAGGGGCCAAACAAGGGGCCGGGGGGCCGGGTGCCGGTCTCTGAGGTGGGGCCGAGTGGCCTAGGGGCCGTGGGGCCAAACAGGGGGCCGGGGGGCCTAGAGGGGGCCAAGGGGCCTAAGGGGCCGAGGGGCCAAACAAGAGGCCGGGGGGGGGGCCGGGCGCCGGTCTCTGATAAGGGGCCGAGGGGTCTAGGGGCCGCGGGGCCAAACAAGGGGCCTGGGGGGGCCTTAGGGGGGCCGAGGGGCCTAGGGGGCCGAGGGGCCAAACAAGGGGCCTTGGGGGCCGAGGGGCCAAAGTAGGGGCCGGGGGGCCTAGGGGGCCGAGGGGCCAAAGTAGGGGCCGGGGGGGGGGGGGGGGGGGGCGGGCGCCAGGCTCTGAGGTGGGGCCGAGGGGCCTAGTGGCCGCGGGGCCAAACACGGGGCCGGGGGGGCCTTAGGGGGGCCGAGGGGCCTAGGGGGCCGAGGGGCCAAACAAGGGGCCTAGGGGGCCGAGGGGCCAAAGTAGGGGCCGGGGGGCCGGGCGCCAGGCTCTGAGGTGGGGCCGAGGGGCCTAGGGGCCGCGGGGCCAAACAAGGGGCCGAGGGGCCAAGGGGGCCGAGGGGCCAAACAGGTACAGGGCTGGGCGCTGGGCAGGTACAGGGCCGGGCACGAGGCTAGGTACGGGCCGAGCGACGGGCTAGGTACAGGCCGGGCGACGAGCTAGGTACGGGCCGGGTGCAGGCAGGAGACGAGGCCGGGCGCGGGCTAGGTACGGGCCGAGCGACGGGCTAGGTACGTGCCGGGTGCGGGCGTCGAAGTTGGCGGGGCCAGCTGGGCCGAGGCGACGGGCTTGGTACGGGCCGGGCGACTGGCTTCGAAGTTGATGGGGCCAGCGGGGCCGAGGCGACGGGCTAGGTACGGGCCGGGCGATGGGTTAGGTACGGGCCGGGCGACGGGCTAGGTACTGGCCGGGCGACGGGCTAGGTGCGGGCCTGGCGCGGGCGACGAAGTTGACGGGGCCAGTGGGGCCGAGGTGACGGGCTACGTACGGGCCGGGCAACGGGCTAGGTACGAGCCGGGCGACAAGCTAGGTACGGGCCGGGCGCGGGCGACGAAGACGGCGGGGCCAGCGGGGCCGAGGCGACGGGCTACGTACGGGCCTGGCGACGAGCTAGGTACGGGCCGGGCGCGGGCGACGAAGACGGCGGGGCCAGCGGGGCCGAGGCGACGGGCTACGTACGGGCCTGGCGACAAGCTAGGTACGGGCCGGGCGCGGGCGACGAAGACGGCGGGGCCAGCGGGGCCGAGGCGACGGGCTACGTACGGGCCGGGCGCGGGCGACAAAGTCGACGGGGCCAGCGGGGCCGAGGCGACGAGCTAGGTACGGGCCGGGCGACGGGCTAGGTACGGGCCGGGCGCGGGCGACAAAGTCGACGGGCTAGGTACGGGTAGTGCAGTAGGTGGTGGGCCCATTGAGACTAGGTCCTAAGACTTAGTTGCTCTTAATACCATGTTAGAATCCTTAGGTGAGAATGATTGACTAGGAAGCAAGGAAGGGTACAAGTAGAATGTCGAGAGAATTCTGTACCCCCTAAGGCTAAACCCACTATAGCCTAGACAAATGTAAACACATGAACTAAGCCTAGATATAACTAAGCATATATGTTTGACAACATGCTGTAATTCACAACACCACATGAAGTTGGCGCCAAACAGCTTTTTGGTTGGTAAATTGTTGCCTCCCATAATTATGCCTCGACAGATATGCATGTTGGAGGAGTTGGAACTTCATGGTCATCAGCAGACGTTCCTAGACAACGATTTCTTCTATAGCACCACCGGCCCCTTAATCATCACGAAGAGCTGGGACCTTGGCAATTGGGATTAGCAGCACGATGGAGAAGCATGCATGAGCATTGACATCGCTGGCCGTCTTCGGATTCGACCGTTTCTCTGGGTCGTCGCTGAGGTATGTCGTCTCCATCACCTTCCTCTATGGCATCACGATGTGGATCCTTGGACATGCCTTCCCTTCTTCCATAGTGCGTGCATTTCGTCACAACCCCCTCCCCCTTCCCCACGCCCCCCTCAAATCCCCTCCCCCCCCTCCCTTACCCCTCCGTCCTCCAGGCCTTGTAGCTTCATAGCGGAGAGGCGTTTGGCCAGCGTTTCGTGCGGTGCCTCCATGAACAGCCCAACGACACCTTTGAGTGATGGCTTCGTCAGCAACGTCTTGATCACCAAAAACCGTCAGCTGAACGGTCTTCCCTTGACCGGGCCTCCGCCATGGTGCAATGGTGGCAAGCTTTGCAGGTCTGGTGAAAAGCCGAGAATGGGCTGATATAGGAAGTACCGTGTCGATGACGCTTGCATTTTTGAAGAGCATGATAAAACCGTTGCTTGCCATGACTTTCATTTTGGTTGTAGTCATGAAAGAAACTTCTATAGGTCCCGAGAAAACTATAGTCGTAGCCTTGCTTTGTAGTGTTCGATAAAGGCATAGGTGGTAGAATGCTCAATGTATAGGTACAAAAGTGTCAGAATTTGTAATTCTTATATAATTGCATGTTTAGTTAGTTAGTGTAGTATCACCTATCTTGTCTTAGGTGGTCTACCTCCCTTCACCACCTCCCCCCTTTCCTATAACTTGTATTGCATTCTATAGTGCAGTGCAACCCCTTCTCTTGGCCAAACTTCTCTTCACAAACCCTAGCTTCTAAGCTCCTTCCTATCTTGACAAAAAGTAGTACTCTGAGGTTCGCAATGCCACATGGATGCCGAACCTAGGCTAAAAAACTTTAACCGATGCGAAATTGCTACACATTGGGCTGTTCAAAGAGTTTGATAAAATCCATGGCGGCCTCAAGGCTTGTCAAGGCTGTCATGGCTGATCAGAATTCAGTGAATAGTTAATAGTGGATTTCTGTCAGTTGTTTGCTATGCAACCTTCTATCGTATCCCATGCATTACTTTTCTGAGCCACATGCTAGACTTCACGTGTATGTCAGTTCCTTTCAACAGTGTACTAAGATCCTCGTCATGTTATTAATCGAATGCTTCGTTGTGGACAGAATCTTTTGCTCTCACGTGGCCTAGAAAACAAGCTGGTGTTCGGATTGTCCGACGTGGCAATTTGAATGACTGTCGCTCAAGATCCACTCAGCTGTTCCCTCCCGCCCTGAAATTCATCACTCTACGAATCTCGCGTTCAAATCCAGCTCCGATGCAACCAGCCTATCCTCTGACTTACTGCCACCCGAGCCGCATCGTCGTACTGCAGTAATGGACGGCGCACCTGCTTCGAAATCTAGATTTCGAGAAATCCGACGGGTGAGAAAGAATGCACAAAGAGCGAAACCTAGAACATTCTTTCAACTCATCCTGTTATTTTCCCCCTTCCCCCCCACCCCACAACCGTCCTTTGCCCTCCATCCTTCTGGTCTTGCTCCTCCTGACGATATTTCAGTATCATAAAGAACACCACACTCACATTTTTTCAATTACTCAGAAAGAAATCGCGCCGTCTTTGTGCAAATTCGAGCACAAAGCACGCCAATTTCAGCTGAACGGAGTTAGCCTGCAGAGTCGGCTAAACGATAATGGCTTCCGCTGTCGCGTTCCAGTCTGGCGTGCTCCAATGCAAAGGCCTCACGCCTCTTCCGCTCGCTTCTAAGAAGCAGCAGTCCCTCTCCAGCACAGCGAGGATCGCCGCAAACACCCAATTAAGATCTCACATCTCTCCTTCCTCATCCAGCGCTGCCGTCTTCCCTCGTCCATCCCGCGTGTGCGCTTCCGCCGGCAGAAGTAACGATGCAGTCACGTCCTCAGCGTCCGCCGCCGAGGCAGTCCCATCGGTTCAACAGCTAACCAAGCTGACGGAATCCGTCACGGAAGCCGTCAAGGCTGCCGTCAAGCCCATCCTCGCAGCCGCGCTTATCGCCTCCGTCCTCACAGGCACGCCGAACGACGCGCTTGCCGCGCAGGGCGGAGGCCGCGTCGGCGGAAGCTCGTTCTCCGCCTCGCGCGCAAACACCTACGCGCCTCCCGCCGCCACCTACGCCGCGCCGCCGGTCGTCATCGCGCCCGTGACACCGTTCTTCATGCCGACACCGTTCTTCTTCGGCCCGACGATCTCGCTGGGCGGCGGAGGCGGCGTGTTCGGGTTCCTGTTTCTCGCGATCGCCGTGTACTTCATCGCGCAGACCGTGATGGGGTTCCTCGCGGACTCTGCGGAGGAGGAGGTGTGGGCTGAGACGCAACGCAGCAGCGTGGTTCGCCTTCAGGTGAGCAGCGAGGGTGCATTCAATTGTGACTGGGGCGCATTCCATTGTAAGTAGGGGGCATTCCGTCGTAGCAAGGGTGCATTACGCAGTGCGCTGGCAAATAGTTTCTGGGAGCGGAGAGAGCGGTAAGCAGAGTGAGTGGCAGGGAAACATCGGGTGCGCAGAGCAGGACGCACACGGCAATGCTGCGGTATCAAGCGCACGTCACGTAATTCGTCCTCTTCAACTGCGTCTGCTATGCATAGAGTAATTCAAAGAAACACAGGAAAGCTCGCTTATAACTTGTCTCCGTTTACACTAGGCAGAAACGAAGCGGTTCCGTCTTGGTAACTCGCCCCTCTCACTCCTTCCCTAATAGGAGGAACGGACTGCCATCCCCACTAGTCCATGTCTAATCATTAATCATCCAACCCCCTCGTTTCGCTCCCCCGCAGGTGGGCCTTCTGGGCACGGCGAGGAAGCTCCAGCGCGACCTCGACCAGATGGCGTCGCGCGCCGACACCGGCTCGCAGGAGGGCCTGCACTCCATCCTGCAAGGTGAGCGCTGCGTGACTGGTGCCCATGGGTGCTCGCCTTGCTGCAAGCTGAGCGCTCCGTCGTTCGGTCCCGATGCACTGCTAGTTTTCTCATCGAAATAGGACCCAGCCGGCTTGCATCCTTAACCAAGACATGCTTCATCTGTCTCCTCTGCTCCCATTGGTTCCTTCAGAGACCGTCCTTGCTCTGCTGCGTAACCCCGACTACTGCATCTATGGCTTCTCCACGGTATGCTCCTCCCTCCTCCACCACATTTCACCGCATTCGACAATCTGCTTCTTCCTTTCCCATCCACTTCACTTTCATGCACTTTCAGCTCTCCTTCCCCCCTCCCCCGCCCCGTTCCCCCCTCCCACCCAACACTCCCCCCTCTCTCTGTTTCTCTCCGACCCTGTATCTCCCTCCCTCTCCCACGCCTTTCTCCCTCCGCCCCTTTCACTAAATCCCAATAATCTCAATCATCACAGAAATCCATCCACCATAAAAACAATCAACAATGTCCTCGCTCTGCAAACCGTGTGCTTGATCCCATGCCCGCAGTCGGAGACGGCCAATGACTCATACGGCGGGGAGGCGGCGTTCAACAGGCTGAGCATGGGCGAGCGCAGCAAGTTCAAGGAGGAGACGCTCGTCAACGTTGGCGACGTGCGGAGACGGTCCGAGCGCGAGCCCAGCGAGCAGCGCATGAACAGCGAATACATTGTGGTATGTTATCCCTCCGCATTTATTCTCCAGGTTTTGCAGTCTTTTTTTTGCAGCATTTGCATGTTCATCTTTACTTGACTAATGCTTCATATGCCTCCTCTTGCCTTGAATCACAAGAATCTGTAATCCTAAGATCTTCGATCTCGCTGTCCGTGTTGCCAGGTCACCATTCTGGCAGCCACAGAGGGAACTTTTGTGCTGCCCGAGGTGAAATCTAATGCTGACCTGAGAGAGGCTCTCACCATCCTAGGTTCCATCCCGGCCGACGAGCTCCAGGTGAGTGATGTAACGGGGTGTTTGAGTGGTTGCGATTTCAAGCTCGATAGAGTTTACTATCTGCTACGGGGGAGTGCCGGTAATACGTTTGACTAATCAGAATACGGGGTTAATGTGTGCTCTAAGTTACCTTTGGGCAGCGGCAGCTGACCTGTAACAGGATGCACTAGTTGCCATCCCTGTCTTGCCTGCCCCATCCATGCTCTACCATCAACCTGCCTAAGAGCATTCTAACTTACATGTACCGGTATGAGTAAGCTTACCATGTGCTACACTGTGTGTCATGGCAGGCTGTGGAGGTGCTGTGGACGCCGCAAAACGAGGAGGACACGCTCACAACGCGCGACATGCTCGAGGACTATCCCTCGCTGGGGCCTCTGTAGATTGAATGACCCTCCTTTTTTACGCTTGCACGTTTTGGTCTTGCGCTGTTGTGCAACTGGTAAATATAAAACACGTTTTTTGCATCGAGAAGTACAAAACGGTGGAGATTTAAAACCGCTTTGAAACTCTTGATACCGTCTCAGACCATGACGGATGAACTGTACAGTACCTGTGAACGTACTCGCTGGACTCGCCACTAGCGAGTGCAAGCGCAAGAACTTTGGTTTGTTGAAGAAAAAGTACCATAACTATCTACATCGGCAAGACCAATTCAATTCAAACGTAGTTGGTTATGTGCTCACAGAAGAGACATTACGGTACTGGGAAGATTTTTTTTTGAGTAATAACGGATGTCTGTCAGTAGATACAGTTGGGTGATAACTTGTACATACAAATAACAGAGCTACTGTACAGCAATAGTAGGAATAGCTGATATTATCCGTTCGGAACTTAACCAATCTACTGTACAGTGTACACATCTGAATAATGAATTAATACTTAGAGAAGCACAAACCGAATGCTGAAAGTCAATGCCGTCGCCTCACTTGCCCAACCTTCTCTTCCAGTGCCAAAACTGCCATGGGGAAAAGGAAAGCACCGAAAGAGGGGCAGAATAAGGCACCACATTGTCAAATTGTTTTAGTGCTTACATTGTGTAGGCTGTAGTGGGGTAGGTAGCCCATAAAGCAGGCCCTCAGATTCACTTTGAGGCACGTAAGGGTATCAGGGTCCCTTTGGCCCTAGACCCTGATCGACAGGGTCGCCTAGGAAAAAAGCCTGAAAGTTCAGTGTTACTTAAAAAAAAAGTCTGATGCATCAGTGTCACCTATAGAAAAAGGCTGATAGTAGTGAAGCTGATTTTTTAACTTAAAACTCTATGAAGGTCGCAAACAGCCTTCAATCTATCTATCTGTGTTGTAAACCAAAGCCCATCTTGCTTGCTAGCTAGCTATGCATTGCATCCAGCATGACTCTGGGTCTGGGTGAGTTCAGTAATCATCATCTGATGAGGCCTGCTTGTCATCATCATCTTCTCTTCCCTTAGCCTGTCGTTCTGCCCACTCTTCCTCCTCTAGGGCCTCCTTTCCCGTGCTATCCCTGCCCTCTCCCTCTCTTTCGGGTGGTGCCGCCACATTGCCGAATGGGCGGCGCTTCTTGTAGCTGCGCCAGATCTGCACCACCTCATCGTAGTTGGGCTCGTACTCGAGTAGAGACATGGTGACGAGGTCTTCGAGGCGGGCGTCCTTCAAGCTCCCCCGCTGCCACGATTTGATAACGTTTTGGCGTGAGAAGCCGCGCTCACACTCCACTGTGCTCAGCGGCAGCACGGCGACAGCCACCCAGAGACGCACCAGATTGGGGTAGCCAGTCGCCCAGTCGCTTGTCTTCAGCATTGCTGTTAGGCCTGCGTGGAAGCTCCGCTCGTTCTTCGGGGCACCTGCGAGGATGGGGCAGAAGGCCCGCAGCTCTTTGATCGCACGCCGCTTGTCGACCCCTGCCACATAATGCGGAAGGGAGAGAGAGAGGGGGTTTTTGAAAGGCTGGCAAGTGCGTACACCATACGTTGATGAAATGCAATGACACAATAAGACGGGCAGCAGCAGTGCGAGAGCGGGAATACCTGGAATGATGTAGTCCGTGTCCTGTGCCCTGAACAGCCTCACGAGAGACTCGAGCCACTCGAGACACTGCCTGTGGCGCTCTGCTCTCCCCAGCTCCCACTCGTCAGGCATGAACAGCCGCACTCCCACCAGGGAGTCCAGGTCCTGGAACCGTGTGCTGAGGTTTTGCACGAGCGTCTCGGCGAAGGTGGTGCAGAGATCGACGCAGGCGTCGTGGGAGCCGAGGGTCGGGTAGTCTTCGCTCGGCTTCTCGTGCAGCTCGAAGGTGTGTGTCGTGGGCCGCCCGTCCGAGTCGACTCCCTGCACCTTCACCTCGGGATTGCCCCCCTCAGGCCCGTGCTTCTTGATGAACGGGGAGAGGCGCGCGCTCACCCCGCCTCCAAAGTCGTCACCACAGTCGACGTAGCGGGACTCTAGGAATGAAATCGACCGGCGGATCTGCCCGTGGACACTTGCAATGTCCAGCTGTTAGGGGTCAACAGGGCGAACAGAGGATGGAGAGAAGGCCAAATCAGTGCAAAGCAGATTCTGCTTAAGCAGTACATCAAACAGTGACTCACAAACCGAAACAAGGCACACAATCCAGCAACGATAGTAACCAAGCTCACCTCACGCTGCTGGAATGCCCTGTTCAGCACATTGAGCTGCTCGAGGACGTCTGCAAGGAAGTATAGCAGAAAGTGAAACCTGTAGCTTGTGGCGAGCTCGTAGAGGGTGATGTCCCACTCATACAGCATCACGATCAGCGCGGGGAAGACCTCTACCGCGCGCAGAATGGCGTCACCGCGGGAGAGCCAGCGGACGTCGTGGATCCCTTGTAGCTCCAGGTTTGTTTTCGTGAACACCTCCTGCAGGCCAATGAAGCGTTGATGCCACGGGCCAGAACGCCCCAAATGCTCTGCCACTTGGCGGAGCAGGGAGTCCACCATGCCGAACTCGGGGAGTTGTTCAGCGGCGTCCTTTGCTGCGAGGGCCTCCCTGCATGCACACCAGCATTAAAACCGGCTCAAGGAGGGGTTAGCAGGGGATGCAGCAGGGACTGTATGGAAGCAGTAAACAGAAGATGAAAACTGACCTGTGGGCGATGCAGTGGCTCGAAACAAGATGCGGGATGCGGAGGCGAAGTCGAGCGACAAGGCCGTTGTGTTTCCCCATCATCACACTCGCTCCGTCAGTGCTTATGCCGGATATCCTCGCCATTTCAATGCCTAGGGCCTGCAGGTGGGACAAGAGCACTGAGAGGAGAGAGGCTGCATCGCCCTTCTCCACGGTCAGCAGGGCAAGGAACTCAGTCACGGGACGATTTTCACGGATGAATGTCGCGAAAACAATCATATGATTTCCCCGACACCTGTCCGAGCTTTCGTCGCACGTGACGCCAATGTATGGGCTGCTGAGGATGTGCTGCAGTTGCGTTGTGTGCAACCATGTGGCCATCCACTGTGTCAGCTGCCCGAAGCCGTAGCTGCAGCGCATGTCAAACAACACAACGTCAGATAATTCGGTTGAGTTTCACAAACACGGTTGCAGTTAGATTAGTTCAACACTCACGTAGTATAATAGGTTCCGTAGCCTTTTGCTGGGAACCCGGGCACCTTGAGTCGCGCGAGGTAGCGCACAAGATTCACCCATAACTCTATGGGTGCATCTTGCTTGGTCACGAAGAGCAGGGAGTCGAGGAGCTTGACGACCCGCTCCTTCTCCGTGTCGCGAGCGAGATTGTCGCCGTTGATCCGTGGCTGCGTAGCGGCGTCGTCGAGAAGCTTCTGCTGATGTTTCAACGCCTCCTTGTGCTTGGTAGTTGCCGCATGCCGTTTGAACGCCTGCGTCTGAACGTCTGTGGCGCCCTTTCCGCCTCTCCCACACGGTCCAGCGTAGCCTGCGTGCTCCGTACAGATGCTGCACTTGAAAGCGGGGAAACCATCAGCTTTTTTTAGCAGAATAAGCCAAGAAAACCGCTCGAGCCACTCGCTTTTGTACTTATACAGAGCCTCCGCGTAGGTTGCGTCTGGCCCTGCCGGTTTAGAAGGCCCAGGTGTTGAGGGCGACGCCTGCGTGCCTGCGGTCGCGGGCGTCGACAGTTGGTCGGCTGGCGAAGCCGGTGTTGCACCAGCGGGACCTCCCTTCTTGGGCCACGGCAGCGTTGACTGCGTGTACCTGGCGGACTTCTTAGCCACTGGCACCGCCGCGATTTCTTCACCTGAAGGGTTGGAGCTGTCTTGCTCCAACACGGGCGCAGTAGGGGAGGGACACAGAGGCTCGTCGATGGGTTCAAATGGAACATCGACGGTCGGCGCGACTGCAGGCGCCTTTCCATAGTTATCTACTGCCGCTAAGTTGGAGAATAGCAGATCCAGCCCGGTAACGGCCGCGGACAGATCAATTGGCGAACGACGAGCGGGTTCATCGCCGGGGTCATCAGGTCGTTCAATGGCGTCCGGGTGGTCCGCCATTGATTGCGCTGTGAACAAGCAGCATCTAACGGGACTCCCTAGCTAGCTGAACGATGGAGGTTTGCCAGGAAGAGAGGACACACGGCTGACTGCCTCTTGGTACACCAGGCAGCAACGCGATGAAACCTTACACATGCTAGATGGAAGGAAAGCATGGAGCAGACTGGGGTGGGAGACTGGATGGCTGGCAGCACGGCTGGGCGGCGTGGATGCATCCGTGCTTGCCAGCACGACTTAGACAAAACGGGCCAGAGGACCACAGATGCTTCACATGGGCCTGAATCCCTCGTTGCGCTGCCTGCCAGCATCGCTGTGCTGCAACCCTGTAATTGGCCAAATCAGGAAATGCTGTCAAAGTGGCCAATCATCGCACCACGCGCGCCAACAACGCATCCCTCTACGAGGCAAATTTGTCTGCTACTCACCGCCATGCCCTGCTGACACCGCGGGAATCTGATATTCCCTGTACAGCCGGGCAACTACACACGAACCGTGTAGGAATCGCTTTCAGGGTCGGATTCGTTACAACGTAGTGGAATCAGTGTCACTAATTTTTTTTTGCTGAAAGTTCAGAGTCATGTGCTAGGTGAAGGCTGAAAAATCAGCCCCACAAAAAGCTGAACACTGGAAAATCAGTGTAGGCTAAAAAAAAACCCTGGAAATCAGGAATTTCAGGGAAAAATTCCTGATATCGTAGGGCCTGCCATAAAGGGGTACAACCCAATTAGGCTTAGTACTTCTACCAAACTTTCTGTTCAATCCAATAATTCTCGTTCAGTATTCTGACATGGTTTCAGAGCAGGTCCTTCCCTAAGACCGATTTTTTTTTTAGGGCGCACCACAGCGCTGCCCCACTAGCTGCCCTGCCGCCATGCCCTACTTGTCGCGCCGCCCTGCTGGCCGCTGTGCCGCCCTTAGTAGCCC